TACCAGCAACACATTTTTATAAAAATATTAACAATGCATTTTTAAAAATAATTACCATTTTATCCTTTACAAACTGTATATCTAAAAATACATGTTTACCTTAATGTGCAAAATATCTGTACTTGAGGGAATAAAATTGTATACAAAATGTTTAGATTTCAGCATTAAATAATACATAGAGGTTGATATGCTGCAAGCAAAATCAACCAAACCAAATACACACGGAACCTATGTCACCAAATTCATGGACCAATGCTTTAATGCACAACAAGGCTATTGTGAACTTGGATCCTTAAACCTAACCTGCCTGCTGATGAGTGCTGCTGCTGCTTGATTGCACTCACTGAAGCTTTTCTCTTCTGTTACAGCTGCTACTGAAGACCTGCTATCATTTGTCTATCTTTGTTAGTAGCTCCCGTATTGTATTTATTTCTATGCTATGCCTACTAAGGGGGGGTCCTCATTGTTTACCACAAGGGTTACTAAACTTTTTTCACAGAGGGCTAGATAACTCGGAGAATGACGAGTGTAGGCTGAATAACCATTTTGTTGAATACACTGAATACAAAAAATTAAAGACAAACGTATCTGTTTCCATAAAGTTATCAAAGAAGGTGACATTAGCAATAAAATAGTTATCACACACCAGTACACATATCTAAATTTCACAAACTAAGCAGCAAAAAAGGTTAGTGAGATTTGTGAAAATGGCATTTACCTTTTAAGAGATAATCAATATTTGCTTTAGATTTGCTGCATCCAACCAAGAGAAATGCTTTCAAATGTTCATCAACCTTGTTACATGTGCTGACTTTACATACTTTAGATTTTATAATGGGTTCAGGCAAAATATGACATAATTCACTGAAGTAAGTTCTTTTTTTATATATGGTACTCTTCAAATCAGGTTAAACATGGCAATGCAATTTAAAACATGGTCGCTGCTGCAGGCTCATATCTACACTTGAACAGATAATTCTGTTTTATTAATACTACAACATGGTGCTGTATATCCTGAGAAAAGAAATATTCTTGGTTTCCGGATGGAGGTCCTTTTCTACCAAGGTAACCATTTCTTTGGTGTTACTTTATATAAAATAGGAGAAATTTTAGACATCTTGGGTTAAGTTTTGAAACTTGTTTGATTTGATAATTTGTCTATATTGATATTTTATCAGTTCATGTATATGAACATTTTATTCTTGTTTACACAAAGTTTATATAGCTTTCTGCATAATTCTTTTATCAAATCTTTTCATTCTAAGTTGATTTCAATATGAAAGTACAAAGAATAGAAAATGTTTACTATTTTGTAACTAGAGAAAATTCAGAATATCAATAACTCATGGCATTATCAGTAACTGATAATGCCAAAAATGAGTAAATTGGATTTTCATGCTTGTTGGCACATTCTATGTGTAATGGCAGGTGGAGTTTTGTTTAGTATTGTTTGATAACAAAATCTTTTTGTTTATTTTAATTGTTTAAGTTTCAGTTCCATGTTTGAGTTAAAAAGTCTCTGGAAATGTGTAATTACAAGATAAAAAAAATACTTTTTTTTTTTTTTTTTTTTTTTCTTTTAAATTTCTATTTATTTTTTTGTTTTAATTTTTATTTATTTTTTTTAATTTAGATGACATTGTGTTTGAAACGGTAAAGCCCAAAAAACCTCTAAAAAGAACGAAGACATATTCTCATCCAGAAACAAAATATGCTGAAAAAGTGGAGTACAGTAAGTTTATTTTTCTCTATTTTATATTTGTGCTTTTATAAGTTGCCCCAATAAATTGAAGGGATACTTAATTTATAGAAATTTTATGATGCCAATCTAAACTTACAATATATATATATATATATATATATAAATCTTAAATATAAGAGACAACAGATGTCTGTTATGTTTTATAATGACCTTAATTTCAAGAGAAATTGAACACAAAACCTGTCCGACATTTGGTCATCGATCTAAGATTTCAGCTCACATGAGCCATCACCAGAGTGATTATATATATATATATATATATATTGTAATGTCCATATAACCACTCTGATGATGGCTTGTGTGAGCTGAAAGCTTAGATTGATAACCAATATAATAAAGAAATATTCAAATGTTGGACAATTATTGTCTTTTTCTCTTGAAACTAAAGCCATTATAAAATGTTTGGAAAGGCTCATGATAAAACATAACAGACTTTCGTTATCTCTTATATTTAACAAGATATGTTTGAATAATGATCTGCTGTCCATATATATATGTATATATATATATATATATATATATATATATATATATATATCTTTATTTTAAAGAAGAAAACATTTGGAGATTAGTAAAGTCAGCATTTAAATCAATTTTTTTTCCAGGTAAGTTGAATAGAAAATATTATATTTGTATCTCTTTCAATTGTACTTAACCTGATCCAACTTTGACAGTGTAGTGGATTTTTCAAAGGAAGGGTCAAGTCCATTAACATCTCTGCTTCTGTGGATGTATATTTGTCTATAAAATTTTGTCCGCTTTTAACATGTGTATATGTTTTCAAGACACTGTGAAATGTTGATCCTTAGTGTTTATATTATAAGCTAATTTGTGCTATTTCCAAATCGGTGTAGATATATATTAATACACATTATGACCTGTTTTGTGAGATGCTTTTATTATATTATATTCTGTGGGTTTTTTTTTTTAACTTAGTCTGTACTGTAGAATATCTGATTGAAACCAAAACTGTGATGCCCATGAAAAATTGTTGTCAGCATCTTTTATAGTAGTTTATTTCCAGTAAATGGCAATTTTCTATTTTTCCTTCAAATGGGCCAGTACTGCCAGGCAACAATGTTGCAGGGAAAGTGTTAAAATGCAGTAAAAACTTGGAAATATATGCATGTATCTTTTTATATAGAATACTACTACTCATAAAGGTAGTTCAATAAATCTGTAGCCTGACACAGTTATTAACTGAATGTTGAGCTGAAAAATTTCACTGTATAATTATTTTTTTTAATCTGACATATTTTTATTACTTCAAATGTTATTTTTATTGTTTATCCATATTTGAATAGACACTCTGTTTTATTTATAAATAGAAGCTTGCTTGATTGTGAAACTCTTTGTAGCTAAGCAGTTAAAGCACACTGAATCAGATGGTAGTTTCTCCTGTAAAGATTTAGGTTTGAATCCTGCTGAAGAGCACATTTTCTTTAATAGGTCTACTTGAATGTGTAGGCCAGTAAGCGAAAAATAAATATTGTTTCAAATAAAACTGAGTGTTTACTCAAATATGGGTATCTACTAAATATAATGTTTGAAGTAATAAAAAAATGTTTATGTGATTTATAGAGAAGCTTTGGATTAAGTGCATTGACAAGGAGATTGTTGAAAAAAAAAAAGTGAAATTTTTTTGTTCATCATTTGATATATTTGTGTGCATCTCCATGAGTGTGTGGCTAAGTGGTTAAATTATTAGTGTTCTAACCATTAGACCCTGGTTTGAATCTCGCTATAGTCAATTTGTCTGGGAGCCTACTTCTTGATATTATCAGCCAGTGTGTGGCATAATTGGGAAGTGCCTGAAAACCATATCATGCATTACTGTTTGGAAGCTGTTGATGGTTATTTGCACAAAGACATAAGTCACCGTGACTGAGTGTTTCCATGTATTGGCCTTATTCAACTACTGATCATCTCAGATTTTGTCCTATAAACTGTGACTAGGTCTGCTCAGCCTAGTTGCAGTATAGACTACATGCAACAACCAGGATTAGCTAATCATTCTAGCAGATAAGGTAAACTTGGAAATGAGTTACCAGCCATTGCTATAGATCCCAACTCCAAAATTTCATATTTGACTATGAAATTTATATAAAATATTTTCATATTCAATAAATCAATAAAATTTCATTTGACTCCAGAGTTTCATGTCAAAAAAATGCCTGTCAGATGTTCAATTGCTTTCTTGGGCTCAAGTTTTCTACCAACATGAAATGGAGTGATTATATTGAATCAATTGCTAGGCCGACTGCTGGGAAAGTTGGTTTACTGTGTTGTGCCAGACAATTCTTCTCATCAGAATACTTCTTGTACATTTATAAATCTACCATTCATCTGTACATTGAATATTGCCACTGTATCTGTTCTGAGACTCCTACTGTATATCTTAAGTTTCTTGACAAAATCTAAAGGCAGGTCTATAATGTAATCAATCCTGACCTGGCATTTCAACTTCAGCCACTTCCTTACTAATGTGACATGGCTTCCCTCTGTCTTTTCTGCAAATATTTTCATGGCAATTGATCTGACAAGCTGTTCTCCTTAGTGCCTAGACTGAATGGATTTAAGTGTGCTACTAGACTGGCAATTAGGTCTCAGCATTTTACTGTTGAACTAGTTAGATGTAACTGCCATTTCTATTCTCACAGTTTCTTTTCTCACACTTCTCACCTGTGGAACTCCCTTCAGAAATTTAAAGGAACATCAATTTTCATCTCCGTCTTCCTGAAACCTGTTCCTTTTGTTCTTTTCCTCACTCGTAAAGTCTACTCATTCTCTTTCACTCTCTGTCTGTAACCCCCTGCTGCTTAGTGGCATTATCATCTTGGGATAAAATTATTTTAAAAAATAAAATAAATAAATAAAAATTCTAATCATAATTTTTAAATTTGAAATTCTTGTTAGATTTTCGTGTGCTTCCTGACAGATTTACTGGCCTGAAAAATGTTAAATTCTCATAATTTTTTCAGTTGTACTCTTATTATAAAATAAGATAAAAATATTTTCATTAAAATATTGTTAATCACTGTTTATCAGAAATAGATTGTTTCCTTTCTAATAATTGTATAAATAAGATATTTACATTTGTATTAATTGAAGGAATTTGCTGCTACCCAGGCTTTTACAGATATGTTGATTTATTTTGAAAGTGTTCTTATTTAGATTCACAACAGGTGCGCTCTGTCAAAACTTATTTTTTCTTTAAAATATTGCAGGTACTATCTCTATGGATGACTTCCTTTACAAGCAAAATGAGTTTCGACTTTGGCTTCGTGAAAAGGTAAATAATAAATCTTTAATATGTGGGTTTTTATTTTATTTTTTCTTGTTCTAATACCATGTCCATTCAGGTGATCCTGACTCTACATGACTTCTTTTAATATAAGTGTAACATAGGGAAGGTTAGTGAATAGAATAATCACATGAAAGTTGGTAATTAATGATAATACTTAGGACAAGAACAACACATAAGATTCGCCAGCAGTGCGTAGAAGTAGACAACTGCTAGAAGTGAGTCAAGTGAATTCCACAATGAATCTCCAACTGCAGACCCACACATACAATATTCACTACTGTATTTATAGGAATGGGGGGTATACCCATTATCGTCTGTAGGTATGCTATAACAATAAGTGAATTGCCATTGTTCAGAAAGACAGTGAAATGTTTTCCCATTATTTTTGTTGTGGTTTGTATTTTATTTATTTATTGACTTTCTTAAACTGGTTGCAACCTAAAGGTGAAGAGCCCAGTCTACCCTACTATTTAACCCATAGTTGGTGGGGTTGAGAGAAAAGAAATGGAGTCATACCCAAGAGCATTAGTATGTTGTGAATGAAACTTGAGGATGGAATTTGAACTTGGCTGACTAATTTCACGTTCTGCATCAGTTAGGTTATTGCTATATCGTTAGAGAAGGCAACAGGAAACCACTCCATTCTTTTTCCTAACCAATACATTAATCAAAAAGAAAAGGTCAATAACAATCTGTAAATTTTTCATGTCTTATGAAGAACTAGTTGAACGGGCTAATTTGCTTTTTAAGCCCCACACTAAGTATGAAATAAAAATTTTCTGAACAGTTATATTTAGGTGTAAATTTACATGCTTAATTAAAAAATAACAAAGAAATTTTGATAAAATCTACCATTTTGGAGTTATCAACAATAAAAGTTTGGACTCATTTTCGTTGTTGGCTGCTATGGCACGGCAGCCATTACTGGCATTGTTTGTATACATTTGCTGCTGAATAGTCATGCAAGGAAGCCTTGTTAATGGCCTTTTTAGTGATCTTACTTGCCTCAATTACTGCACAACTGAGTACTCCTACTGTGCGTAATAATCAAGACAAGTGAATTTTTATTCTGCAGCAAATACATGCATACATTGCCAGTTATGGCTGTTGATTTTTCTTTTTAAAGGAATTTGTGTGAATCAATACTCAATTCAGAATCTTAGTTGAAGCCTTGAAGACACATATATTTTGCTCTTCCTCTAAATAAGAATGTTTAATCATATTGATTCTGATAGTGAACAGTTGATATGTTATTCTTATCTGCTCTCTTTTCTTTCTGACATACAAATTGAGATTGCACACACACACAGGCATATATCACTAGTGTAGCAGCAACATTTTGAAATACATTTGACCAACATTTAATGCTATTTTGCATATCTAGCATTTCTGGTTGGCCTCCTTAAATTGGGATGCTTGTTTTGAATAGCTACATATAGCTACAACAGATAAATTTGAAATAATTATAACAGAGTGTGTTCACATGTTTTAAAAAATCACCATCACAATGATCACAGTTACAATATGATGTCTCAGGAGATCAAAAGTATTTGTGTCAGAAAAAAAAAACTATGGTGCCTTTCTTGAATTTCAACTTAAGATCAAGAAGCTGATTAGAGAAATAGAAAGGATTAGTATAAAAATAGACATTTGTATATATTATTTAATGAAACCTGTTTGAATGAATATATGCTCAACAGACACACATAAATGATGAACTCTCCGATTGATTTTGACATGAGGATCTAACAATCTCCTTCAGTTTTTGTTTGTGTCATATGTGACCACTTGCATATGAGTCCACATATTGTGCAATGGTGAGGATCTAGGGACATAGCAACAGGAATATTTGCTGATGCTTTTCACTGTTGTCTTTCATCTCTTAGCTAGTCGATATGATTGATCTCAAAATTTCTAATGCCACTCTAGCACAAATATCTTTAATTATTTCTGTCCAGGGCAACTCACTTGAAGTTAGTATGAGACACATTGACAGCCGAGTAGTTAGCATTCCTTTGTATACTGTTAAGCTGGCTATACATGAGGACATTAGGTATTCTGTCATCCTTCAGCAAAGTTGTGACCATGTCAGGAAAGTATTGTCAAAAGTATAGCCACAGATTTCATGGAGAAAACTTTTGTGGAAGACACTGAGTTGATTGATATGGAATTTATATAGTTTTAATGTATGGTATATTTATGTGTAAAAGTGCACAATATCAGAGATATAGCCTATGTAAATATAAACAGTAGACATTGAGGTCAACACTAAGCGGTGACAGTCTTTCATGATTGAATGTAATTTTATTTGAGTAGATGTTTGTTTTTGGCTTTTTTTTCATACTAACTTGTACACTCAAAACTTGAGGAGAATGGCCCTCCACAGACTCCACAGATGAAATAAACAGTTAAAAAAAGAAAACAAAAAAAAAAGAACTGCTGCATCTATTCAAATATGGATGCCTACTAAAAATAAAGTTTGAAGCAATAAAAATGTCTGATTAAAAAATAAAATCCATTAATTTATTAGAAATATGAAATTTGTGTGTGTGTGTGTTTATCTCAAAGATAAAATAAAATTGTGTACAGAATATTTAAATTTTGGCATTAAATAACCCATAGAGGTGTTGATATGCCGCTAAACAAAACCAACCAATCAACCTCTTTGTTTATTATTGTCTTCTTGATAAAACAATTTTTTATTAGCATCATGAAACATTTTCATTTATTTCTCTCTACTTTCCCTTACTGTATTAAAAAAAAACATTTTGTTGCTTTTCTGTTAAAATAAGTTGTTAACACTTCATTTTACATATATATAATTCTAATATCTGTATGTTCATTATTTTTCTTTGTTTTTCTCAGCGCAAACCTGAGCTCTGCAGTCGATTGTCTGCTTCTAAACAGAACAAATACTTCAAAGAATTTGTCAAACTATGGAACAAAAGAAAGCTTTTACCTGTAAGTCAAATACCTGTAATATTTTTTAAACATAAACTACTTTTTTGTTATTCAATATGATAATGATTTGTTTGATATATTTCAGTTAAAAGATTAAGATTATAGAGAAGTACCACTTGTATACAGTCAGTCTGAAAAGTATTCAGCCATTACAAAAATGTGGCCTACTTAGGGTAGTGGCACCTTGGTCTCCTTCAAAATTCTCTTCCTGAAGACCTCACGCTCATGTCTCAGGGTGATATCCTCTTTTAACAATCTTCATATTTCTCTCTTGGAATTGCCATCAGCTGCTTTGTCATGGTCTTAATCTCATCCACAAACTGAAATCTGTGGCTATTTTTTAAATTTAACTTTGTTTTATCTGAATTCATACAGAGCTGAGTCTTAACTGTCGTTGAGGTTGAGAGAACTGGATAATGTAATGTGTTATTAAAGTCATACATGTGTCATGAAGAAATAGGCATTCAAAATATCAAAAATGTCTGGATACAGTGGAATCTCCAGGTCTTTTAAGTCTTACTTGATCAGTCACTGATTTTTCTTGATCGCATTCAACATTTTCGGATGGTCTGCTTGTTTGAAGACCTTTCAGAATCTGGATTGTTCTCTGCTGAGAATGCCTACCTAAGTTTGAAGCATTAGCCCAAGACTTTTGTCTGTGTGTCATTCTTGGAAATATTTGCATAATTTAAATAATTTCACTGAACAAATAAGTTTCAATCAAAACTGAAGTCACATTCATTGCTTACTCAATGGTGTTTCACTGCCGACTTGGTATCCTCATGGGAGAGTGTCTGTTCATGAATTGATGCCCTCTGATTAGTTACCAAGTTAAATTAGAAACCAGTTATCAAGTTATTAAAAATGGCTGGTTGCTTTTCAAACTGACCTCCAGTAATCTGCATTAAATTTTGTAAAAAAAAAAAAAAAAAATATTTTTTTTTTAAATTTTTATATTAATGTACATCCAATAAAAGGCCCAAGAGTTACTCAAGGTAGAGAGTTGCTTTGTGGTTTGTATGAGTAAGAAAAAGCATGAAGTTCATTAGGTTATACAAGAAATATAACAGTTAATGTTAAACTTGAAGATGTCAAGATTGTAATGATAGAGAAAACCTCCTGCTGGGTGTCTCTTCTACAGAAATTTTTCAGAATATGCTGTCCAAGTGAAACTTGCTACTAATGGAATACAAAAGGAATGAGGATGATTCATCCTTGTGTGTTTGGCATGGCAGATTTCAGTTGCAAAGGTCAAAGCTGGTGGGACCAAGGAATGTAACTAATCGGAACACATGCCATGGAGAGGTTGTATGGTGGAAAATAATTCATCACTCACAAGGCCACATAGATACTTTTGAACTCTATCAAGACAGGCAAGTGAGGACTGGGTAGCTCCAGGCTAGATATGGCAACAATACTTAATTTTTGCTCTGATCAGACTCTTGTAAAGATTGTATAGCAGGAGGAGTCAGATACTTGGTCAGTTCACTAAGCTGGACATTTTCCAGCAACTTTAGAAATAGATAATATATATGTTCCAGTTCAGTTTTGGGGTAAGCTTGAGACCCAATAGACATTCAAAACAAGGAGCCTCTTTGAGAGAACTCCCATACATCATGATAGGTGAAAATTTAAGGTTTGATCATCTTGAAATAAACTGTGACCTGAATGTATGAGGATAAGTAAAAAAAATTATCCGCACTTTCGCCATAACATATCTTTAGGTTTGTCACACTGCCTTCTGTTCATGCTTGCTTATAGTTGGTATTATTGTGGTCATGTGATTAAAGTTTGAGCTTGATCATGTGAGTATTCTTACTGCTGTTACAGTGTAAATATGGGCACGAAGGAGGAACAGCTTATGTCTCGACCTCATATTTTTACATATTCTAAGTAATTTTTACTTTCTCTTTCCCGCCTATTAGTAATAAAATACAATTGTATTATGTTTGCTGAGTCAAAAATATAACTTACTTAATTATGAACATAGAGAAAAAATTTTGCTGTTAAATTCATGAGACAATTATTTTAAATGGATATTTTTGAATCCCTCCCTCATTCCTGTTTGGATAAAAATAAAAATGCCAAAACTGGTTTATCTTTTTTTGAGTAAACAAAATAAAACTATACAAATGATAATCAAATAATTACATAATTAAGGACCCAAGTGAAGAAATTGAGTTATTTTTTCATACCTCTTTTATTTACTTTTTTTTTACATACTTATTTATTTTTTTTTACTTTTTTTTTTTTTTTTTTTTTTTTTTACATTTTTTTTTTTTTTTTTTTACATACTTTTTTTTTTTTTTTTTTACATACTTTTTTTTTTTTTTTTTTTTTTTTACATACTTTTTTTTTTTTTTTCTTTATTTTTTACATACTTTTTTTCTTTGACATACTCTTTTTTTTTTTCTTTTTTTTTTTTTTTGACATACTCTTTTCTTGTATTTGTCAACATTTTTTACATTTTACCCTAAACACCATTTGCTCTTTGTTTTTATCTTTAAAAATTTTTTTGTTGTATTTTACATATTAAATGCGTGATTTAAAAGATCCCAGTTGGAAAATAATAAATTTCAACATTTAATTGCTATAAACTAATGTAAATAAAGAATGCAATTTAAATTACAAAAACTGGATACTTTACAAATCCTACCATTTGTGTAAGGGAAGCAACTATGTAAAGTAGGGACCTCTACTAAATTTTCGATACTTAAGGTTTAAAATGAATTTTTAAAAATTAAAAAGCATTCTTGAAGCTTTCTTTTTAGTTTTAATTGAAAACCAAAGGATTAAATCTACTATTTCCAGTAAGGAAAATATTCTTGTGTATTTCAATTAGAAATTATATTGATTGGAATCTCAATTTTTTTTTTTTGGTTGCTTTCAGAAAATCGATAACTATCGGCCATTTTGATAAATTTGTAAACAAAAGTTAATTCTCGGTTTTAGAAATCTTCCAAGAATAAAATTTATATTTGTGACATGTTATTTGAGGAAAATTAGCAAATTTAAAGTTAAATTAATCTGATTTGAAACGAATATTACTTATAGCATAAAACCTAGTATTTCTTAACAGGGTCTTGTTTTTTGGCATGTTGATTGATTGATTGACAGCCTAATGTGTTGAAAAGCTAAGTATAGTTGACCAGAAATTGACATAAATTTTTGAATTCTCAGTGAATGCTTTGTTTTTGGTTTTTAATTACTGAGTAATTTTTTAAAATTAATATATTTTCAGCAATATCTAATATTTTATTGAATTTTAGTTACTTTAGCTTTATAACCTTATGTTTTTATCAAAATAACTCTCACAAAAAAGAATAAGCTTAAATAAAAGTAAAAACTACTAACAAAACCATTTTTTATGAAATAGGAGTTAAAGTAAAAATAATTTTAAAGGAAATATCAATGATATGCAAATTAAAAAATAAGAACTAGAAATTGAATAAGAAAAATTTAAGTTAAAATAAAAATTATTTTTTTAGTAGATTTGTATTGGGTTTCGTCTCCACGTTCTTTTTTTAACTAAAAAAAATTTATTGAAGTATGACCCACACTAAAATAATATTTAGTGAAATAGGTATTAAAAAAAAAAAAAGTAAAAATTGCTTACGAAAAAGGGAATGCATCTACACTAAAACAAAAAATTAAAAAATAATTAAAAAAAAAATCTAGGTGCTAAACAACTTTTAAGCTTTTTCAATTTTTGATTTGTAAATATAGTTTTCACTTAATAACAATATTATCTAACTGGATTAAAGTAATACAGAATTTTAAATGATTTAAATTATTATACAGGGTGTTGCAGCAAAATCCAACACTTGACAAATAGAAAATGAAATAGGGAATAAAAACAAAAGTTGTGTATGCAGAGACACGACAGTTTATTTAGCAACAGTTAGTTACATACTACATTATTTTTTTCAATGTAACTGCCACCGGTGACGACGACCATCTCGAGGTGTGAACGAAATGAGTCACACGCTTTGGCAACCATGTCCTTGCCCATAGTGGTGAATGCCTCCATGATGGCAGCCTTCAGAGAGTTGACCATGTTGTGGGTGTGCTTGTTGGTCTTGGCCTCGATCACGCCCCAGAAGAAATAGTCAAGAGGGTTGCAGTTGGGTAAGGAGGGTGGCCACAAGTCTGGCACCCAGTGGTGAGAAACATTGCTGAGTAGCCACACCGGGGTGGTCTTGGCCTTGTGTGCAGGAGCGGAGTCCTGCTGGAAGACATTGGGACGTCTGGCGGCGATCTTGTCCATCCAGAGCTTCACCACGCTCCTCAGCACCACCTCCTGGTAGATCTCAGCAGTGACTCTTGGGCCCTTTTGAAAGAAGAATGGAGGCATGACGGAGGAGGAAAACTTTGTATGCTTCACGACTGGAACCTCCTCGATGTCTTTTCAGATCCACTTGTTGTTCTGCCTGTTGCTCGTCAGGTCCTGGATGAAATTCTTTTAATCAGAGAAGACCCTCACTATCCTGGCAGACCTCTGCTTAAGCTCATTCAGCAAAGCTGCCACTTTGACCTTCCTTGACTCCTTGGAGGCATTTGTGATGAGCTTGCAGTGAGACTTGTGGTAGGAGGAGTAACCCAATGTCCTTCTTGATTGTTCAGCAGATTGTCAACTTGTGACAGCCCATGTCAGCGGCAATCTTGGCGTAGCTCTGGCTTCCATCAACAAACTCGTCGGTCCTAATGACCGAAGAACAAATGTTGTGGGCCTTTCGTTTGGCAGTAAACTCATCCTTGTTCTCGGACGCCTACCACTTCCTCCAAATGTCCATGACCATGGTCCTCTTGAACCCAAACCAGGCCATCACTTTTGCAGGCTTCTTCCCTATGCGAAAAGAAGCTACTACCGCTGATTTGTGCTTATATTCCATCCTGGAAAAGGGTAGAGAGTAAAACGTTAGTTGTCAAACTGTCAGGTGTCTGCATATACAACTTTTGTATTTATTGCCTATTTCGTTTTCTTTTTGTCAAGTGTTGGATTTTTCTGCAACACCCTGTAGTTAAAATTTTACAAAAATGAAAAACAGTGCTTGTAAAAAAAAAAAAAAAAAAAAAATTTCATCAAAAAATTTTTTTTTTTTTTTTAATAGTGTCCTTAAGAAAACTTTTTTTTATAAAAGCAATTAAAATCTTTTCTAATTAAATAATATCATAGTTTTATTGCATTTTTTATTTTAAGATTTAGAGCTAAAACATTAATTGTAAATATTACGTCAACCACTGATGCAAAAAAAAAATTCTTTTAGCCCAAATTTCGAATGTACTAGAAATGCTTAAAAAAAATTAAATAAAATACTAAAAAAAATACTTTTGTCTTTTCTGTTAATAACAAACATTTTGACAATAAGCCTTTTAAGTTTGGGTCTTTTTTTCATCATACTAAAGTGGAGGTGCCTACTTTAAAGGTAAATGTTGTTTATTAAAACTTGATAAGAGTCTTTTAATATATGAATTTGATGGAAAACAAAAGTCAAGTGTGAACATGTTTCTTTTTGAGTTTTGCCAAATTATGGAAATCCTAAATAGAGTCTGCAGTCCACATTTTTTTCTGTTACATGGAAATCTTTTATAACAATTATTGTTTGCAACTATTTGATGAAAGACAATTTTTCTTAACATCTGGACTAAAAAAAGATTAAAAATAATGAAAACAACTTTCAACAACTATGAACATAGCTACAATGTGCTGACTGTTTGGGAAAAAAAAAAAACATTCCCCTCACTCTAGAAACCTAAAAATCTTCACAGTTAAAAATAAAAAAACAAAAAAACAAAAAAAGAAACAGCCTTGATAATGGCTAAGACAATAGTCAAATGCACTTTGATATACAGAACATTTAGTTAATTTAGGCTCAGAAAAGAAAATGAACACAAGAAAAATTAAATAAAAAAACAAAACTTAATTACATTACCTTGTCAGTCATCTTTAATGAAACTTATAAAAGTCAAAACTAGGCAAAGCAACATTAATAAAGAAAAAGTTAACAAAGATTTGTGTTCATATGCAAAAGGGACACAGACAAGGGGTTATAGTGTTCTGACTTTACGAAAAGAAAACAAAAATATGCTGGATGAGACCAAAAATTGACCATTTTTTTTTTTTGTTAGGAAGGAATCCCAGCATGCATCTATATGACCTTGTAAATAAAATATGACATTTAATGAAACATATATATATTTGCAGTTACTCAAATTAAAACTATTCATATCCATGCTTTGTGTCACTTGAGTAATAGCAATAACAATTTTTTTATTGATTACAAAAACTGTAAAATAGTTGCACATTTGGTTTGCTTTGGTATCGGAAGTTTTTAGCTCAAAGGAATTGTATTACTTTGAAAGATTTTTGACTGAATTTTAATATTTTAGAGAATTCTTATTGCTGTTTTGTCATAATAATTTTATTGGGATCATTATTACTATAAATAGGATGGAAAAGACAATTTCAAATTAACTTTTATTTTTGTTTCCAATAATTTAACTGTTAAGGCAAATAAAAATGTTTGGTATTGTTTAATTGACATAATTGCTATTATACAAAAAAAAACGAATAAAAAAACTACATTTTATGACCACGTTACTTCTGCATCTGGCTAACTATAATCTTTGTTTCCAGAAATACTACAAGCCGTCACTTCTCACTCGAAGAGATACTCTAGCTCCTGTAAATCATAGTCAAAGGTTCAGTTTTGCTGACCCTGCCGACAGCCCTTTGATCCCCAACTTTCAACCCAGTCCTCAAGTGTCCTTTAATTCTGACAGCCCACAGCGAGCAACCTCTCTCTCAACTTTTGGCAAACAAGCGGCACATCGAGCTGGCTTACAAGCGGTAGAGACAATGCCTAATCCAGCTAGAAAAATACCGTCTACATTTGTAAGTACTTGTTTCAGTTTTGAAAATTTTGGTATGGGATTATATTATTAAGTTTAATAAGATCTTTCTACTCAAAAGTAGCATTTATCATTCTTCTATGTGCTGTGTCTCTTCAGGACAATCATGACTCTCCACAGTTTCCTGTCCTTTGTAGCTCTTACTAAATTTTGTCTTTTTTGTTATCTCTCCTAAACCCTGTTATGCCATCCATTTACTCAAGCTCTCAAGGTAAGATTCTACTAAAAATTCAAAATGTATGAAAATAGATAATAGAATGAAAAATTTGGTTAATAATTAAAAAAAAATGTTTACACTCTTGTCCTCATCTTTATTGTTATATTCACAACATTTTGGCCATTGTATGCTCTGACCTTCATCAGGTCATATATGTTGGAATTTCAAATCAAAACCTTTTAGTCCGCAGGTATAGATTGTTCTAATTCCACGTGCCATGCCTTTTTGGGATATCTCAGTTTTCAGCTATTTCCCTTTAGTAACTCAACTCTTCAAGGTTTTTTTTTCCTCTCCTGTAGCCAGGTATTGAACTCACAAAGTTATAATTACAGGTAATTAATTATACACAAAAGTATAGATTATACAGGTATATTTTCTATTTATTGTATTATTACAAAACATTTTTCTTAGTTTATTTGAAATTATTCATTATGCAACATTTAACTTGATTTTGATTTCAATTTCATATTCAGACCTGGGTGGGGATTTTTTTTTCCAATGAAAACTAAAAATCCCATACAGTTTAACGATTTTGCATTTTGTATCTTAGTTTTTAGAAAGAGGATTACTTAATAATTACATAGAATGTTTCTGATAAGTCTGTATGGAGCTTTTGACTAGACTGAAAAAAAGAGATAAATATAATTTTAATTTATAATTGATAACCTAATTATTAAAGATTTACTAAGCACAAAACCAAAGGTCAAGTATTTCTTTTGTCAAAATAATTAAAAACAAATACTTTTTGTAATATATTCTTTAAAACTTAATGAAGTTTTAAGAATCTTTTCTGTAAAGGATTATTCATTGGATGCTGCTGTATCCTTAAAGAGGTTACAGACAGACAAAGGTGGTACTCGAGTGAAGGAACAGCAACACGCGCGTAGACGAAAGAAGAGAGGCTTATTGTAAAAAAAGAATACACTACTGAAAGACAGAGAATCGGCTGGCAGGCTAGTAATTCCTGAAGCAAGCCCCCAAGTATATCCTGTGCTCACTATATATAGCTACTGATATAGTCAATCCACATAAGCGATAAGAAGTGTGGGACATTCCATTACAACAGATGCCTTTTCCAAAATTGGTGTTGATGATTGACTTTTTTTACTCTTCCTATTAAATGCAATTGAATAACTAATTGGAAGAAAAGGTAACTTAGGAAAAGATTTAAATTATTTGCTACATAATAATATGTAGATATGCAATGCAAGTATTTAGGTGTGAAAATAAATCTATATAAATTTTATGCAACATATTAACAAAAAATATGTATACTTTAAAAGGGTTGATGATTGAATAAGGAAATGGTGGGGGAGTGATCATGCATTACTTGTTTCATCCCTAAAAGGATATGATAAAATACATAGCATATGAGATTTTAGCATTTTGTCATTCAATTATGCATATTTAGTCTGATATATATATATATATATATGTTCCATTATATAAAACTGACAGATCAAATTTACAAATAAGTTTTAAACCCCATATTGCCTCTCTCTTTTTTCACTCCTATCTCTCCTTCTCTTTCCTCTCCCTCCTCCTCTCTCTTTCTCTCTTCTTCTCTTCTCTTCTCTTCTTCTCTTCTACTTCTCTTCTTCTTCTTCTTCTCTCTTCTACTTCTCTCTTCTACTTCTCTTCTCTTCTACTTCTCTCTTCTCTCTTCTTCTACTTCTCTCTTCTACTTCTCTCTTCTACTTCTCTCTTCTTTCTCTCTTCTACTTCTCTCTCTTCTACTTCTCTCTTCTACTTCTCTCTTCTACTTCTCTCTTCTTCTCTCTTCTCTCTTCTTCTCTTCTCTCTTCTTCTTCTCTTCTCTCTTCTCTTCTCTCTTCTCTCTTCTTCTCTCTTCTACTTCTCTCTTCTACTTCTCTCTTCTACTTCTCTCTTCTACTTCTCTCTTCTACTTCTCTCTTCTACTTCTCTCTTCTACTTCTCTCTTCTACTTCTCTCTTCTACTTCTCTCTTCTACTTCTCTCTTCTACTTCTCTCTTCTACTTCTCTCTTCTACTTCTCTCTTCTACTTCTCTCTTCTACTTCTTTATTTCCTAAACAGCAGTTTATTTTCATATTGTCAAGTTTTCTTTGATGCATATTTTTTCTTTTGTTCAGGGAGAAGAAAAGAAATTGTTGTTAGTGCCTGCTCAAGTGCCTGTGTCAAAACTAGAAACAAAAAACCCAAAGATACGTGAACCCAAAAAAAGAAAAACAAAGTATGTAAATTATTGTTTTGGGCTGGGAAAAATTCTTTGATAAATTAGTCATTCTATTTTTTTATAAACTTCCATTAATTTACTTTTAACTTTATGGCTCTGCTTTATAAGGTTTATCAGTGACTTAATTTTCATTAAAATTCACTTTGGATTAATTCATCAAAATCTGTTAAAAACACATGCATACAAAATGCCAATATTTTGAGCAAAATAATGTCTTGGAGACCCAATTATTTAATTTTTGTAATTCTCTATAAGAATAAAAACTTAAATGATTTCATGTGTTGCTAATACACAACAATTTCTTTTTATTCTAATATTAAATTTTTTTTTTTTAAAAACTGCATTGATAGTAGAGAATGTTGAATTCTTATAAGTCAGAAAGATTTTGATCTTTTTATCTAGTAACTCAAAATGAGAGATATTGGAGAGTTGTATTTAAATTACTGTTCATTATATTCACTTGTACAAATACTCTTGGGAAAGGTATGAAGACATTTCATCTCCACCCCCAACTATGGGTTAAATAGACTTGTATCTGGGAAAATCATTATCTCTAAAAAAAATGTTAATACAATATCATCATCACCCCCTTGACTTTTGTAATCGCAGGGCAGATCTGAATACAGAAGCTGCACTAACCCTTTTCCACAACGATCTATCAACAGCAGCCATCAGCAATTCCATTGATAGACTGTTGTGGAAAAGAGTTTATATATATATATATGCATGCACACAATATATACTCTTATAATTAGTTTATATATATATATATATATATATATATATTTTGCATCTGGAAAAGTCATTGTTATTCTCAAAAAACGTCACAACAGAATGTGATACAAAGTCTAAAGCCATTCAAAAATTTGCTCAAGCAAAATCTACATAAATTGTTCATTTGTTTATTCTATTATATTGTAGATTTTTTTTTTTTTTTTTTTTCAAATGCTACCAATATTGACTGGATCTGAACTCTGTCTCTCTGTTTCTCTCAAGAACCATGTCTATCAAATCTTAATCTTTGTTATTAAAGTTGTCATAAAATGTTCATTTGTTTATTCTGTAATATTCTAGACATTTTTCTTTTTCTTTTTATCCAGTCGCAATGAAATGATGAGAAAGTGCAGTGTTTGCTCTCATCATCCACTGACAAGACAGTGCGCCAAGAAATGCTTGTTGATTTCCACTGAAGAGGATTAATTATGGCTGTGTTCATGATATGGTTTTTTTGTTTTGTTTTTAACTTTATTCATAAGTCTTCCATGTGAATCAAACATCCAATTGTAAATGTTTGTGTGTCTCTCATTTCTATGTGCATCTGAGTAAAATGAAATTGTGTGTTGATTTTTAAATTCTTAATTGATTTTGCAATATTGACATATTGTGTCTTATTTGGTACTATGAAGTATTGTTGTTAGTTTTTAACTTATTTTATTTTAAAACTAATTAACATAAAATCACTGAAAAAAACTACATGTCTCCTCCACACAGATACAAAAATTAAAAGCATATATAATTTCTTTTTAACCTGTTTGTCTAAATTCGCATTTATTTTCATGCCAAAATGTTACCGAAATCTCTTGATATTATAACCATAAGGTCATCAATTTGTAATGATTTTCAAAAGGTTTTCATAGGAGGTTAATTCCTTGTCTCACAATCGTGTTCTTGTCTCCTAAATTCTGTGAGCTTGAAAATTTGAATTTACTGCTATTTAAGTGAACATTTAAAATAAAAAAGGATAAAGAATTTGTATTAAATCATTTTTGATGGCACAGTAAGATTCAAAATTTATTTTTCTTTAAAACCAGAAAATAGTATTTCCACCCTTACATTCAAAAGATTTTGAATGTTTCAATGAAGAATATTCAGTTAAATATTTTGTATTAATTTGTTTAAGATTAATTCACTGAAGTAGAATTTATACAATGTTGTAACAGTAAAAAAAAAACAAAAAAACTCAAAAACTGGTACCTTTTTACAAGACGGTAATTTATCTCTACAATTATCTTTAAAAGAGCTATTATTTTTCTTTATATTTTTATTAATTATCACAGAGGCTGCATAAAAATGTTGACTGCTTTAAGAAATGATTTTGCAATCCTTAGTCAGAAAATGTTGCAAAATGAAACAAATAAAATTACCTAAAATAAAACAATTATATTAGTTGAATCAAGGAATCTTTTTTCTTTTTCTTTTTCTTTCTGTTACTTCTTTCGGTTATGGGTAGGTGCTTAATTTTAAGCAAATGTTTTTAAATTTTACTTTTGGCTTTATTTACTTGAAAAATCTGATAGACTGAACTGTTATGAACAGCAAAGATTTAAAGAAAATAGAATCGGTCTTGTCATATTAGAATAACATTCTGTAATCATCTCTGCTTCAAAGAAAATCCCATTAGCCATAGTATTCTTTATGGAATTTTATTAAATGATGTTATAGGTTGAGTTACTAGATATATGAACAATTGCTTTCCAGCTGGCAAATGTAGTCTGTACATTCACATGCTTATAAAATTTTATGTATCTCTGAATATTTTCTAAGGAATCTTTTTTTTTTTTTTTGCGTAGATGCCTTGACTTTTTCTTTTCTTTAAGCAGTTTCTACCAAGAGACCTAATAAATTGCATCTAACAAGAGACCTAATAAATTGCATCTAACAAGAGACCTAATAAATTGCATCTAACAAGAGACCTAATAAATTGCATCTAACAAGAGACCTAATAAATTGCATCTAACAAGAGACCTAATAAATTGCATCTAACAAGAGACCTAATAAATTGCATCTAACAAGAGACCTAATAAATTGCATCTAACAAGAGACCTAATAAATTGCATCTAACAAGAGACCTAATAAATTGCATCTAACAAGAGACCTAATAAATTGCATCTAACAAGAGACCTAATAAATTGCATCTAACAAGAGACCTAATAAATTGCAATAATAAAAAAAAGATGGACTCACTAGCTTAGGTAATTGAACCATGTTGGGATGTGACACTCTTTGGCCAAGTGGTCTACAGCACACCGGATCAGATGATGATTTCACCTACAAAGTGGGACACAGGTTCAAATCCTGTTGGAGAGCACATTCTTTTGTTAGGCCTCTCGAATTTGCAGACTGGTAGATGTCATTTAGTTTCATTTGTTTTTTTTTTTTTTTTTTTTTCACAGGGTGTCTACTCAAACAAGGTGTATCCACTAAGATAGTGTTTAGAGTAATAAGATATATTGGAATGCATTGTGCCACTGAATTAGTCTTCAGATTTTATTTTGAATCTTGTAATGCACCACTTCCACAATACAGGTAGGCAAGTAGAACATCTAATCAAGTAATCAAACCATATTAATCTCTTGTCATTTAAAATTCTGTAAAGAAGGAATCTTGCAAAAGATATTGTGATTCTGAATATGGTACTAGACTTAATTATGATTTGACTGTTCATAAGTGATATAACTTATGACTAAAAGAAATGTTGGGACTTGTGTGTTTTAGAAATTCTATTTGAGATACAAAGGAAGTGAGTTGGTCATGTAAATTTATAGTACCTAAAAATCACCAGAATATTTACCATTTCTACCTTTTGCACTGATTCTTGAATTGTTTAAATGAGAAACTTTTTTTTTTTTTTAATACATAAACTGAAATTTGTGAAAAAAAAAAAAAAAGTTAAATGTTTTTTAAAACTGACTGAGATGACTTTTCAGAAATTTTTGCATATTTTTATTTCAAAACATGGTAATATTGTCTTCTGAATATTTGAATTAGGAAATGCTTTTCCATTTTATTAATTCAGTGTTGAATTTTTAATTGTGCATCTAATATTAACATTCTACTTTGAAACACGGAAAAAAATTTTTATCTTAAAATTTGAGTAGGAACTTAGAATTTTTTTTTTTTTTTTTTTTTAATTTTCTATTATTTTAATTTAATTTTTTAATTAATTTTGATATAGGTTCATTGATTTGTACCCTGTTCTGCTAGTTACTTTATTCATACATAAAAATTAAAACATTGATTTTCTTCTCTGTAAAGTAATATTGTCATCATCATTGTTTTATGTGATGAAATTTACTTTCTGTAAAGCAAAAAAAATCCTCCGATAAAGAATAATAAAATTACCGAATTCTCTTATTTTCATGAATATTTATTTTCTGAGTAGAAGGCCCTTAACTTAGAAACCATGTTTTCTGTTGTTTATAAAAAAAAAATAAAAATTAAGTTTATTATTGTTTATTAATAATATCGGTTAAAGCTGACTGCTGTCAATTTTGTCGTTTTGAATTTTGATAATCTGAATCTTTTGCACCACATTGTGGGCTTTTCAATATTGTGTATTTTTTTTGTAATCCTGTTAAATTAATTTTTTTTTTTTTTTTTTCTTCTTTCTTTCTTTCTTTCTCTCTTGACATAATTTATCTTAAAGATTGTTGCTTTATATAATGATATCACATATTTACCACAATGCATATCATTTAAAACTTGCTTACACTTTTTTGGTGCTATTTTTTTTTTTTTTTTTAATATTTAAGCATTAATGTGATCTAATTCCTAAATTCACATCCCACCGAATTCAGGAAGCTCTATTCAAGGTGTGAAACTTTTGTCACTAAAATAAGAAAACGAAAATTCCTGAGAAAAATTCAGTTTTAGTAAAACACTTTAGATTATTTAAAAATGTTAAGTTGTGACCAAATTTTCAATAAAACAGTGAGTTCTTTTGCTCAGAATTTTGCTTTTAAATAAACTTTCTAATTTGGGTCCTTAGAAATTCAATATTTATATTTTGTATTGTATAATGAACATGGTGTTTAATTGTGGGTTTGTCTTAGGACCACTGCTGGAAAAATTAAGTTTTATTTTTATTTTTGGT